CATCCCCCCCCCAATCCCCAAAAGTTTCTCAGCGGATTTGGGCTGTACTCAGCAAGCGCAGTACAGCCCCCAACTCAGATTTGAAAAACAAATCAGTGGATGGTTGTTTTCTGACTGGTCGGCAGACTGCCGACCGGTCGGCCCTAGTGGTCGGCTGCAATACGGTCGGTGGCCAGGGTCGGCGGTCGGCAGGGATGCAACCCTGCAGTACAGGCAATATCAGAGTCTGCAATGATGTTTCCTTCCGAAAGGGAGGAGATACCGGGTGCTTGGAGGCTGCGCGGCCTAGGGAGTCGCTCGCCAAGAGGCAAGCAGGCCGGTATATCTCCGGGAGGAGCAAGGAGCTCCTCCTCATTGCCGGTGTGCAAGTTTGGTGACACACTGGTTGGGGCGCTGGCTGGAGCAGCGCTAGCTTGGAGCAGCGCTGCTGGGGAAGGAGCAAGGTCAGAATGAAGCAGAAGACCGGGACTAGGATGGGGGAGCGCCAGAGGTACTTACCTGGCTATGGTGGTTGCCATCTTCACCACCTTGGTGGGCGCTGCAACAAGAAGGCCCCAGCCGGGGTAGAGCTCCACCAAGAAGCTTTGAGGCAGAGTCAGGCATGGCGGCCTGAGCTAGAGCAGCCATAGCTGCTTGAGTTGTCTTCTGCACATCAGGGCAAGGCCCTAGCAGTCCGCCATAGCCTAGGCCTTCGAGAAGAGGAAGGAGAGGGGTGCCATGGCTATGGTGGACCTCATGTGATACCTGCAGTAGAAGAGGGATTCGGACATTGATTCCGGTTCAGCCATTCAACATTATTATTATCATTTCTTGATTGAATAAGAGGGGAGGAGATAAGGAGGAGGACAGTGGTTGACGAAGAAGAAGAGCATTATCATTGGTCTATGCTGGTGCACATCATCTTCTTCTTCTTCCTGTCTTCTTCTTCTCCTTCTTTCCCTCTCTGTCCTCTCAAGTTCATTCATTTCTTTTTGCAATTGGACGGCATTGTACTTTCTGATGAATGTGTACTTCGAATTGGCCAGGATCATAACACAACGAAGAATATCAAGAGAACCAACAGGAACAATGGATATACTGCAAGCAAGTTACCACAATGAGTCAGTCGATAAATGCGCTGGGGGAGACCATGGATGCAAGTCTCACCTTTGGCGCCAGTGCCAATGGGATGTTGAACCGAACCTCCAGTGGAAGTGAGGTGGAGTTGAACAATTGAAACTGCATCGAGGATACGAGTGTGAATCAGTAAGAGCTTTTGAAGTAGATAAGCCAGCCTCTAAAAGGACAAACCTACACATCAAACGATCTTTATATTGCACAGACGAGTGTAAAGCGGTACTAATTGGAAGCAGAAAAGGCAGCCTCTGAAATGACAAACCTGCAAATCAAACAATCACTACCATCTGAAGCAGAAAAGGCAAGTGGAAAAAAATGCACATCAAACACTCTTTGACTTTTGAGGAAAGGCTGGAAGGGTGACACATTCAACAGTCTTTCTATTGCACATACGAGTATTAAATCAGTACAAATTTGAAGCAGAAGAGGCACCCTCCAAAATGACAAACCTGCAAATAACAATCAGTATCCTCTCAAGTAGAAAAGACAACCTCTAAGTGGAGAAACCTGTGCTTTGCCAGCGGCGCACTCTTTTCTTTTATTGGCTGGTGCAGCCAACCATTGTGGTCCGGTAGCCCTTTCTTTGACCAAGTTCAGCATCCGAAATGACAAACCTGCAAATCAAACAATCAGTATCCTCCAAACTTCTGAAGTAGAAAATGCAGCTTCTAAGTGGAAAAACCTGAGCTTTAACAGCGGCGCACTCTTTTCTTTGTTGCCTGGCATCACCAGCCATTGTGGTCTGGTGGCCCTTTATTTGACCGAGTTCAGCCTCCGAAATGACAAACCTGCAAATCAAACAATCAGCATCGTCTAAAGTAGAAAAAGCAGATTCTAAGTGGAAAAACCTGAGCTTTGAGAGCAGCACGCTCTTTTCTTTGTTGGCTGGTGCCACCAGCCATTGTGGTCTGGTACCCCTTTCCTTGACCGAGTTCACCACGGCACCAGGGATGCCGATATTGAACGCCGGTCCGGTCTCACGGACGTGGGTTCTGGATTGTTGGAGGTTTGGATTGTTAATTTCAATCATTGTGATGGACACATTGTGTGAAGTCGTCGCCTTAGGCGCTTTGTGTGATGTTGTCATCATGTTGACTTGTTCTATTCTGTACTTTTAATCCAGCCCTGAGCCTCCAAAGTTTTAGGAGTAGACGACGAAGAAATCTTGCAAAGCTGGGGCTGCGTACTGCTGGTTTAAGTCAATATACCCACCTAGAGTTCACTCCAGGCGTAAAGGCAAAAAACACTTGGCCTGTTAGCATAATCCACCACCACTTCAAATTGGTGAGGATTGAGACATAGTGGATCCACTTGCGGTCTCCAGAACTGGATTTTACCTTTGACCGAACAGAGACCCTTTTGCTGTAACGTTGCTTCTTTACTTCACAGACTACATCGAGTGGGATAGTAGTTCCACCCTCTTCTGAATCATCACCAAAGCTGTTGCCGGTTCCCTGGTTGGAGGATTCTCCTTCTACAGCAACACGCCGACTTGAGAAAATTGCAGTGAAACCAAATGACCCTATGTTGTCCATCGAAATGGGAGGAGAACATCGTGTCGCACCTTCCAACATGACTTGCAAGTGATGACACTTGTGATGCCCCATCCGCATCTTATCGTCCCAGTTTTGAACATTAGTGTTGCTGGGATTCAGTGCCGGCCTCTCAACGCGCACAGCCACAACATGACCAGGTAGAGCCAGCCCTGATGCCTCTCCTGACATCTTACCCTCTCGATCTATTTCCTCTCTCCCATCAGAGTGGTACCAATATCGAATCGGAATCCCCGTATCGTTTTGCAGCCATATTGGAGCATACTGCTGATCTGGCATTGAACCCACGTTGCCTTTCTCCCCCAGCTCTGCGCCATCATCTGCTGTGCTATCTTCAAAGCGAACATCTTCCAGCTTGAAACCAGCCGCACTTTCCTTCACCACTCTGGACACCTGGCTCAGTGACTGAAACCCAAAACCAAAGCATCCATAGATATTATCAGAGTGCTGATGCATTGGACCCCAGGTCAACGCAGACATCTAGATGTAAAAAATGCCTGGAAAAAAAAGGTGAGGCTACTGGGCGGAGGTCAAGAGACCGAGGAAACAAATGCATAGCAACTCGCTGAGCGACCAACTGGCCACACCCAGCTTACCGGCCAATTGATACACACACACACACACACACACACACACACACACACACACACACACAGAGAGAGAGAGAGAGAGAGAGAGAGAGAGAGAGAGAGAGAGAGAGNGAGAGAGAGAGAGAGAGAGAGAGAGAGAGAGAGAGAGAGAGAGAGAGAGAGAGAGAGAATCTCAACTTCTCTCTGTGTTTCCAGTTTTGTTCACTGCATGCCACAGAGTTGTGGATTTTGAGGATTACGATCTAGTGCCCAAGATGTACAATTTACGATGAGAAGATGGGATTCACCACAAGCGCACATCATGTGCCAAATCGCGGACTGTTGACCCACACGCGCATCCGAACCGTGCGGCGCACGACCAATGCACCGTACAAGACCCCCTCCCCACCCCCCGGCAGTGAAAAACGATTCAGGGCCTGGAATTTCTTTTAAGCGGGCCGTGCTTGAGCATGGCTCGAAACGAATTCAAACTCGTTTCTGTGCTTACCATCGAGTGGGAGAAACATAGAAGGGCTTGGGGGAGGGCGTTTCCTTGCTTTGTTGATGACGCAGGCCCGCCTCCAGTCCCTGGTTGAGGAAGAAGCGCCACCATCCTCCGTTGCCTTCGTCTGAGCAGCACTGACCTCCTCCTCCTATGGCCACCATCGACAAGCTCCGGAGACACGACCAGCGCCGACTTCCATCGCCCTCCTCCGAGCAAGGTGGGTCTCCACCAGCCCTCCTTCCCTCCCTCAAACTCACCTCCTCCTCCTCCTCCTCCTCCCCCTCATCCTCCACATTTTCCTCTCCTCCTCCTCCTCTCCTCCCCCTCCTCTTCTCCTCTCGTCCTCATTTCTCCTCCTTTTTGTCATGGTATCGTCCTTCTTAGTTTTTTCCATTGTTTGGGATCTTGGAACTGCAATGGTATGTCCTCGTAACCTCCTCCTCCTCCTCGTGACCTGCTACTCCCTGTCACCTCCTCCATCTCCGTATCTCCTACCCACCTCCACCAGTCCTCCTCCATCCTGCCTTGTCAAGGTCTCGTCACCTTCTTTATGTAAACTTGAGCTGTGATGGTATCTCGTCATTCTCATGTCCTCCTCTTCCTCCTCCATCTCTCCTCGTCCTCCTTATCTTCCTCCATCCCTCCTCCTCCATCTTCCCTCCTCGTCCATCTGCCCTCCTCCGTCAGTCCTCCACGTTGTCATAGATTCATCACTTTCTTTTTCATGGAAACTTCGAAGTCTGTGATGGCATCTCCTCCTCCTTGTCACGTCTTTGTCCTCCTCACCTCCTCCTCCTCGTCCATCTCTCCTACTCCATCTCTCCTCCTTGTCACGGCCTTGTCACTTTGTTTTAGTTCTTTTTTTGAATGGGAACTTTGAACTTGTCGTCGTCGTAAAACTCCTCCTCCTCTCCTCCTCCTCTCCTCCTCCATCTCCTCCCCCATCTCCTTCTCTTTCTCCCCCATCTCATCTGCTCTCTCTCACGGCCTCGTCACTTGTTTTTTTCATTTTTAATGAAACTTCGTGATTCCAACTACGATGGTATCTCCTCCTTGTTACCTGCTCCTCCTTCTCCATCCCTCCTCGTCCATCTTTCCCCCTCAACCTCCTCCTCCACCTCTCACCCTCCTTGTCATGGCCCCGTCACCTCTTTTTTTTTTTTTTTTCGCGGAACTTCGAACTTGGTATCTCCTCCCCCTCCGTCTCTCCTCGTCCTCCTCCTCCATCCCTCCTCGTCCATCCCTCCTCGTCCATCTTTCCTCCTCAATCTCTCCTCCTCCACCGCTCACCCTCCTTGTCATGGCCTCATCATTTTTTTTGTTTTGGTAGAAATTCGAACTTGGTATCTCCTACCCTTTGCCATGTCATTGCCGCCGTTGTCGTCCTCCTCCATTTCCTCGTCTCCCCCTCCATCTCTCCTCCTCCTCGTCATATCCTCGGTCGGTGTCGTCCTCCTCCTCCTCTCCTTCATCTCCTCCTCTCCTCCTCTCCCCCTCTCCCCCCTCTCCGCCTCTTCCTCCATCATCAATCCGCCCCCATCTGATCCCCTCCACCATCTCTCCTCCCCCATCTGATCTCCTCCCCGTCACGGCCTTGTCACTTCGTTTTTTTCCTTTTTTCATGAAACTCCGAATTTCGAACTACAAGGGTATCTCCTCCTTGTTACCTCCTCCCCCGTACATACCTCCTCGTCCATCTTTCCTCCTCCATCTCGCCGCCGCCTCCTCTCCTCCATCTCTCCTCTCCTCTTCCATCTCTCCTCTCCTCTTCCATCTCTCCTCTCCTCCATCTCTCCTCTCCTCTTCCATCTCTCCTCCCCTCCTCCATCTCCTCGTCCATCTCCTCCTCCATCTTTCTCCTCCAATCCATCTCTTCAAGTCATGGCCTTGTCATTTTGTTTTTTTTTGTCCTTCATGAAAACTCCAACTGCAATCATGTCTCCTCCTCCTTGTGACGTCCTCCTCCTCCTCCATCTCTCACCCTCCATCTCTTCTCATTGTCCTCTTCTATCTCTCCTCCTCCATCTCTCCTCTCCTCTTCCATCTTGCCTCTCCTCCATCTCTCCTCTCCTCCTCCATCTCTCCTCTCCTCTTCCGTATCTCCTCCCCTCCTCCATCTCCTCCTCCATCTTTCCTCCTCCGTTCCATCTCTTCATTGTCATGGCCTTGTCATTTTGTCCTTTTTTTGTCCTTCATGGAAACTCCAACTGCAATCGTGTCTCCTCCTCCTCGTGATGTCCTCCTCCTCCTCCATCTCTCGCCCTCCATCTCTCACCCTCCATCCCCATCTCATCCTCCTCCTCATGGCCTCGGCTCCTTTTTTTTTTCCTTTCATGGAAATTTCGAAAAGCAATGGTTTCCGTTTTTGGAAGGCAATTATTCGTTTTTTTTTTGTTTTTTTAACGTTTCTGATTTGGAAAAGCAGTGAAGTGTTATTTTCGTGGGGTCTTAAGGGGGCTTGGGGTCTAGGAGGGGGTGCAACAAGGCAGATTTCATGGAGTTTTAAGGGGTGAGTGGGCTAGGAGGGGGAGGGGGTGGGGGATGTGTTTTTCTAAAGTGGACGCAGGACACGGCTGATTTCCTGGCTTTTCTTTTGTGGTTTTGTGCTCAGGTCACGATGACGAGCCACAAGTGAAGTTCCGCTTTGATCAAGCAGCACTGCCATGAAGATGAAGACCTAGGACCTCAGGGAAAGATGCGCGCAAGGGTGCCACTTTGCAGTGCTTATTAAAAAAAAAAAAAAAGATTCCAACCAGACGGGGTAGTGGACATCTCCTCGCAGCTCGCACACGAAACCGTACCTGACGGGAGATGGCCCCACCTGACAGCACGCGGCACCGTGCAGTCCTGTACGGCGTGGGTATGGGCATGTACGGAAGACATGGAGGGCCCCACACCAGACCCCGTAGGACGCACCGGACAGTGCGCGCGGTGCGGTTGCACACATGGATTCAAGTAGATATGTTCGGTGCAGTTTCAATTAGCTCTTCCCTAGTAAACCAGCGGTCTTCACTTGGATCTTGATATGCAAATCTGACTTTATATTGCCGCTGAGGTCTACCTCTACGCCCAGTCTTGATAGTACTTTCAGCAACGATCTTATCAACATCAAATTTCCCATCCATACTTGGAGGAATTGCTGACCTTCGACTGGGAAACAGTTCGTTAGTTACACAAGGTAAGAGCTTTGACGCGTGGAACACTGGGTAGGTACGCAAATGTGGAGGTATCTCAATAACATAGGAGGGTCCATCTACATCCCCTATTACATCCAAAACTTGCCACGGTCCTCTATAGGCAGGTAACAATGTTTGAGATATGTTTTCCTCTGGGATATATTCTTTCGATTTCACCCAAACCAGATCACCTACAGCAAACTGAGAAGGTCTCCTGTGCTTATTGGCCTGTTCAATCATTTGATGCTGCGCTTTTATTATATTCTCCTTTACCTTTTCTAAATCTTTCTGATACTGTATCGCGAACTCTCTGGTTCCTGGCGGAAGTTTATGTGCTCTATCCAGGTTTAGACAGTCTATAGGTCTGCGAGGACTCCATCCCAAATGTAACTCAATCGGAGTTCTGCAAGTAGACAAGTGCACACAGTTATTATAGGCACTAGCAACTTTGGGCAAATGTTCATCCCAATCAATCTGATCGGGACGAATGTACATATGCAGTGTCTGCTGCAAAATCTTATTCATGTGCTCAGTCTGCCCATTTGTCTCAGGGTGTCGGCCTGATGACATTGTGAGTTTAGAGCCGTAGACATTCATTAGTTGCTGCCAATGTTCACTAGTGAATCGAGAGTCTCTATCACTAACGATAGTCGAGGGATGACCGTAGTCCTTTACCCAGTGGTTAAAAAATTCCCAAATTACTAAGTCAGTTTTAGCTTCCGCAGACAATGCTACAAAAACAGCAAACTTGCTGAATCTATCAACGATTACCATAACTTGACTTTTTCCATTTCTGCTTTTCACCTTAGTGTCCATGAAATCATTGGACACAGAGTCTCCAGGACCTGCTGGGATAGGCAAGGGCTTCAATAGGTCAAGGGGAGGCGGCGTGGTGCTTTTGTTCCGTTGGCACACTTGACAACCTTGCACATATGCAATATAATCAGATTTCATTCGAGGCCAAATATAAGAATGCAAGAGATTAGCGTAGGTTTTCCTCCATCCGAAATGGCCTTCAGTATCATGGCATTCCCCTAAGATCACACTTTTGATCTCTTCCTTGTTTGGGATACAAAGCCTATCATGCACATCAGTTCTTTCAAACAACAGTCCTTGGGTTACCCGATAGTTAGGAAACTCTTGTGGTGCTTCTTGAACACGTTTCAGTATAGCGCCATAAACAGGATCAGCGGAATAAGCATTCCTAATCTTATCTTGTAAATCGGTGCCTATGTCTAAATACGTTACAATAGCACCGAAGAAATCAGATCTTCGACTTAATGCGTCAGCAACAACGTTTACTGCCTTTAGCTCAAAGTCATACTGATCGATTTCCGCAGCCCACCTGGTCAGTTTAGGCGTCATTCGGGTCTGCGTCTTTAGCCAGCGAAGTGTCTCATGATCTGAGTACACTTTGAAATGGCGACCTAGGAGATAATGACGCCAATGATCCAAAGCTTCCCGGAGTGCGTATAACTCTTTTTCATACGTAGAAGTGGCGACTTTCTCACGAGGCAGTCGTTGAGACATAAACTCGATAGGCCTGTATCCATTTCCGTCATCTTGTTGGAGTACAGCGCCTATCCCGTACTGACTGGCGTCGGTAGTAACAACAAAGGGCAAAGAAGGATCAGCAACTTTCAAAACCGGATAGTTAATCAAACATTTCTTTAGACGTTTAAATGAAGACGTACAATCTTGGTCCCACTTCCAGATCATTTCCTTCTTCAATAGTCTGCGAAGGGGAGCAACAACTATCGTAAAGCGTCTTACGAATTTACGATAGTAGTTAGCCAACCCAAGGAACGATCGTAGTTCCGTCAATGTACGTGGGTTGGGCCAATCTCGAATAGCTGCAATTTTTGCGTCTTCCGGTTTGATACCATCCCCGTCTATAATGTGCCCCAAATACAACACCTGACACTTTGCCCACTCACACTTCTTAGGGTTTAACTTCAACTTTGCCTCGTGCAATTTATTTAGCACAAGTCGAAGGTGCTCATAATGTTCACTTAAACTTTTACTAAAAATCAAAATATCATCTAAATATATAACAACGAATTTATCAAGCCATTCACGAAAAAGTCCATTCATCGTCCGCTGGAAAGTTGCAGGTGCATTAGTAAGACCAAAGGGCAACACTATGAACTCATAGTGCCCGCCCATACCTTGTACGAAAGGCAGTCTTATATTGGTCTTTGGTTCTACCTCAATCTGATGGCAGCCAGACTTCAGGTCAATTTTCATAAAGTACCTGCTACCTTGAACTCGATCCAGCAAAGCACCGATCCTGGGTAATGGCTCATCATTTTTAATGGTTATATCATTCAACCTCCTGTAATCAATACATATGCGGACCCCACCATCTTTCTTTGGCACAAATAGCACTGGCGCACCATACGGCGAGGAGCTACGCCTCATCCATTCCTTTTCCAACATTTCATCGAGCTGTGCTCGCAGTTCATCCAACTCTTTGGGTGACATTCTGTAGATTGGGCCCTTAGGAATTTGACTTCCAGGAATAATTTCAATGCGATGTTTGATTGGTCGTTCCACCACACCGCTTGGGGCCTCTGCCACATCCACGAATTATTTCATAATTTTCTCAATTTATGGGGACTCTACCTCTTCCTTATCTTCACCTTCCTTAACTGGGCGCACATATGCCACAAATACTTGATCATATAGATTGTACTTCTTTACATGGCGGGCGAACGCAGGGGCACTCATGCAACAATGAGCTAAGCTCCTTTCCTTACCGGATTCATGAAATACGCGGATTTTCTTCTTTCCACCTTGCGGACTAGGGAGCCAACACTCATGGTCCCTTAGCTTCCCATCCGCATCTGCAGCTTCCCCCCAATCTGTACCTAAGAGAATGTCAAAAGGAAGACTACCTTTCACCAAGAGAGTCAGAGAGTGGAGAACGCGTTCCACCTTCCCCTCTGCCTCGAGCCGAAAGTATGTTTGAATCCCCTCAACATATCTATCCAATACAATCTCACTACGGTTCGCTAGTTACTTACTACAGGTTCTTCCAACTGTTTTACCTTTAGCCCGAGACGCAGCTTTTGCAGGCCTTTCTTACTAATATAGTTGCGTGTTGACCCACTGTCAATCATACCACCTACTCTTACTTTATTGACTTCTAGATCTGCGACAATTAACTGCCCTTTCCGTTTTTTCCTTTTGACCCAGGCTTTCCGACGAGTGGCCAACTCATCACCCATGCCTGCTAGGGATCCACCTAGAGAGGTACATACACTAACTACCTCTAGATAACTGACTAAGTGGGGATCATTTATCTTTTTAGTTTCTGCCACGGGAACCTTCGAATGGGAGGATGTCAGTCTGCTTGCATCTGAAGTTCCTGTAGAGGCAACTGAAACCCCTACTGGTTGTTCCCTTTTGGTTGTTAATGATCAGGTCGGAAGGGAACAATGTGGTTGGGGTCACCACATTTGAGGCACTGATTGACGACTTTTCTATCCCCTAGCTTTTCCCAAGGTTTGCCTTTTGGCAAGCCAGGATGGGGTGGATACGGACGATCCCAGTTCCCATTCCACATGCCTCTTCCTCTTCCCCATGTGGAGTTGGGTCCTCGGAAACTTTGCGAGGGACCATTGCCCCTTCCTCCCACGTAGTGGCTTCCTTCGCCACCACCCCTCTGGTGTCGGGTCCTCTTCCTCCACGACCACGGCCTCCTCTTCCTCTGCCATGGCCTCTTCCTTGTCGCCCTTCCCCACGGGCTGCAACGGCCGCGTAGTCCCCCTCCTGAACTACCGATCCGTTGTGTGCATCTCCTTCCAGACCATAGTCTATCTGATCATAAAAGAGAGTTTCAACACCTCCTTCTTCAAAGGTCAAAAGAAGGTTGTCTTTCCTAGGAATACTTCCTGAGATGGTACGGTTTTGCCATTTCTTGCCGGCTTGCAGATCTTTCCAATAATGGCAGTAGTTCGCCTCCGCCAAAAAACCGGCATGATCTAATGCAATCTTGCTAAACTTCTCATAAGTCATCCCCTCTTCCTTGGTACGGGGATATAGTCGAGTGCGGAGACGATCGGGTAGTGCTCTAGCAACGTTGTTAAGAATTTGCGTCGTGGTGAGTCCATGTTCAACGCATTGCAGAAGTTCATCCATGGTAGATTTAAGTGTGGATACACTTTTCCATTTCCTATCCGCCATATTTAAGATTAACATTTCAGTTCTCCGGGCTAAGTTTTTATCTTCAAATCGTTCTCGGACCGCGTTAAAGAAATCTTCAATAAGGGTGTATTGGGAATACTCTACCATCGACTGACAATTAGCTTCTTTCTGCAGGGAGATTGCAAAACTCGTTGCATCTCCGGCCATACACGAACTGGCCATGAAAACTTTGTCCCAATATGGTATACGCTGCCCGTACACGTAGGACTCAACCGCATCAATCCAATGCAAAACACTTTCTTCCTTTTTGTCGGTGTTAGTCCACGACACCTTTACCTTCATCTTTCTGCCTTCCCTTGCATCTTCTTGCAGCAGACCCTTCTTCTTCCTATCTCCGTCTCCATCACCTTCTCCTCCGCCGCTACTTACCAATTTCTCAATCACGGCGGGTGTTAAAGTTTTACTGATCTGCTCATCTAATTTTACAATGTATGCTTGTAGATGGTGGTCAACTTCTGCTACAGATCTCTGCAGAAAGGTATTCCAGACTCCTTCGAATTCATACGGATGAGCTTCAACTTTCTGCAAGGTCTTGTTCATCGCTGCCAACTCTTCTTTTGTCTGGAGAACAATTGCTGTTAAGAGGGCAAGTTGTTCTTCGGTTGCTGTTTGCTTTTCTTTCTGCGCCTCTGATTCTCTTTGCAACCTCTCACCCTCTACCTGCAGTCTTTTTCTCTCTTCTAACTCTTGTCGCTTTGCAGCTAACATTTTGCTGTGCAATTCAGTTCGTTTTTCCTCCAGCAAGAGCTCCTTTTCCCTTTTCAATTTAATGGATGCCAATTTTGCAATGAACGTGTCCCGTTCTTCCTCCGTCTCTTCAATCCGTTCACTGGAATAACTATACTGGTCATACTAGTTAAAGGGACTGACCTGTATACTCAACCCACGTGTATGACTGCTTTCACCCCTTTCAGTTCGATGTCTAACGAGTCTGTCATCAGCAGGTTCATCTTCTTCTTCTATAGTCTTTAGTTCTTCCTGCAATTCTTTTTCTAACTTTTCTTTCAACTCTTTTTTAATTCTTTCTTTTTCTATTTGAGTTTTCTTCCTCAACTCTTCTTCTTTCTGTTTCTTTTTCTGCTCCTTTTCTTTCTTTTTCTCGGCTAGGTGGCGGTCTACTTCTGCTTGCTCTGCCGCTGAGAGTCCGGGCTTTGCTGTTCCGGATCTCAGCGTCATGCGGGAAGAACACACTCTCCCAAAGCCAAGAGGGAAAAAGAAACGGAATAGTGGCCCCAAAAGAACAGACAGAGCCACCATCCCGTACATGGGATAGTCATCCATGGTGGGGTACAGCACAGGGGAGGCCTCCGCTGGACCACCAAGTAGCTACCCAAGAACCTAATTTACCTGGGTAGTTGGGATCTGTAACTTTTTTTTTTTAAGTCTGGATGTCTGCTTCATAATAACGAAATTTAATAATGCAGAAGATATATAATATTTTATTATTTTCCTAATCAATATGCAAAGTAGGAACTTTTTTTTTTTTTTTTTTCCCCTCTTCCATTGTTTGCTGCCTGTTTAGTTACTCAGCTGGTCTATGCCTTCAGTGGTCTTGTCTGGTCACTTTCGTTAGAGAAGGTAGCCGGGTGAAACTTACTTCAAAAACAAATCCAGTTTACCACAATTATCTCAGCTCTCAGCTTATTACACTCTGACGTGGCAGTACACAGTTCCCTGACTCAACCTTCCTTCCCTACCTATCGATAGACCAGATGGATAACACGACGACCAGATGTTAACTCTCTAGTCCTATCTGTCAGATCAGACCAGGGCACAGGTTTCGCCCAGACAGCAGCAGCGACCACCAGAAAGGAGGTGGAAGTGATACACAACACACAGATTTGCAATCAATCGAGGTAAGTGGGGCAGGAGGTTCTTCTCTTCTTTGGAGCCATTGATGAAGACTCCACGTTCGCTCCAATCGCTCCAATGGCAGGTAAGTCTTCTCCTCCTTAGCCCCTTCTTCTTCGGCCAACTTCCCCCTCTATCCCAATCTAACTCCTCTTCACCTCAACTCTCGCCAGCTTATCCTTCTCACCGGCCTTGATCATGCCAGCGCGTCCAGTGAGAGTAACAAGTTCTGCTCCGATACCAAATTTGCAAGGAACCCCACTGTTCATCACTTGCTGGAGTGCATTAGATCACATGAATATACACAGATTTCACAGATTGCGATGTCTCACACAAACCCAATTGAAATGAGAACCAGGTAGCTCAACTCAATTATCATAACCAGATTAAGAGAGGAATTTCGTGAGTCCAAAATGTATAGCGCTGAACAGAGTTATAAGTCTTCTTCGATCAACATGAGTAACAAGTTCTGCTCCGATACCAAATTTGCAAGGAACCCGAGTGTTCATCACTTGCTGGAGTGCATTAAATCACATGCATATACACATATTTTCACAGATTGCGATGTCTCACACAAACCCAATAGAAGATAAAATGAGAACCAGGTAGCTCAACTCAATTATCATAAGCCGGTTCGTGAGTCCAAAATGTATAGCGCTGAACAGGGTTACAAGTCTTCTTCGATCAACATGAGTTCCAAGCCTGGCGCTCATCAGCGCCAGCTGCCAAACGTCAACAACAGCGCTCAACAGGTAAGTGTCACCATAGCTCACACCTCCCCCTCTCTCGTCTGCCTTCTTCTCTCTCTCCCTCTATGTCTATTGTCTTGGCCTACTCCCATTCATCATGCATGCACACTCCCTATCACACGAGGATCTACTTTGAATACTACTCACTGAACTCTCCTACTATCCCTACTAATGTACTACCTAGCGCTGGTGCAGCTATGGGCTGCCTTCCCTCTAGCCAGCACTCTCTTCACTCTCACATAGTGCTGCTCTTCAGCCTAGCACAGCCCACACACATCTGGTGCACAAGTGCCACGGCACTTCCACACCCTCATGCGAAGTGAGCATCTGTCAAATGGGAGGCTGGCCAGTCCTTTATAGTGCTGGACTGGTCTGGCGTGCCCTGCATTCAGCCTCAAGTGTCTGGGATTCCTGCCCAGTACCCGTTGTTGCAAAGTGTGTGTCCCAGTATCTTTTCCCATGGTCTGCTGCTGATTTGGGCCATCGGGCCTGTCTTTTGGACTCCTGGTCTGAATCAGGACTGACTCGTGGGATTATGACTGGACTGGGACTGTGGCCTTCGACTCATTGCCGAACAGATGTGACTTCCCATCGAGGAGACATGACCCTTTCTCAGTCTTAAGAACTGTGTCCGATACCTGTTCGTTCAGGACCTGTTTGTGACTGTTAAAAATGACCTTTCATTTCATTATGGATGTGACATTTGCCTCAGGAACTTTGTCTTTTGGGTTGCTGCTCGTGAATTTAAGTTCTGGCCGACAGGGCCCCTCGCTGTTGGGGTACTCATCTGGGGTCTAATTCGTAAAGGCCCTTTTACCCGCGCCCCTCCCCCCCCCCAACCCCACCACCTTCCTTCATCCTTTTTTTTTTTTTTCCCTTTTCGGGTCTGGACATTTTTGGACCCTCTGACGTCAGTGCGGACTGTCCAGCTCCGGTGATGTCCGGGTGTCCGGTGGTTGTCCGGACCAGTCCAGACATACATCCAGAATACAGTCTGGAAGTGTCCCGCGCCTGGGTACGCGGTTACCATGCTCTACAGCCTACACATATGATTGGAATTTACAAACATATCTTTGAGCCATTCACCTGCCCCAAAACAAGACTAGTTATGTATGCAATGTTATGCACTTGCAGCTCATTCACGTAGGTACGCATGGGTTCCAAACAGAGATGACTAGAATCGACAATACAGGTTCGATGGATCAGACATCTGCCTGCACAGTAGAGAAGGTATACTGGATACTGCCACACATAACGTTGACGAGTGGACAAAGAAAATGCCCGCAGGAGGTTCACATGCACTGCCATCATTTAGTGATGCTCACCTCCACAAATGATTCTGTTACATTGATGTTCAGCTCGTGGGAAGACCGGATTGAGATTGCCATTGTCGGAGGGCTTAGTGCAATGCCATCCCTCTCCCATAGCTGAATGAATTCGCCCTGGACCACCCAATGCTCCAGAAAAGGTTCCCATGCAATCTGTCGGGCCGTCAAAACCCCCACATGTCGACATAGAAGCAAAGGCCAACAAATTATCCTTAGATATGTCATCTGCACACAACAATCTAGCTCCTTTGGGTGGAGCAATGCGTTAACAGGTACAACAGTCGTTTCCTGGCTGACATCTTTGACAACCAACACAGCATTACTGTTATGATCCTGGCCAATTTCGAGACACACATTCATCAGATAGTATAATGTCGTCCACTTGCAAAAAGAAATGAATGAACTTGGCCAATTTCCAGACACACATTCATCAGATAGTACAATGCCGTCCACTTGCAAAAAGAAATGAATGAACTTGAGAGAGAGTTAGGAGAAGAAGAAGATGACGTACACCAGCATAGACAAATGAGAAAGCTCTTCTTCTTCGCCAATCACTTTCCTCCTCCTTATCTCCTCCTCCCGTATTCACGTAAGAAATATAATCCAATGTTGAATGGCTGAACCAGAATCAAAGTCCGAATCCCTCTTCTGCTGTAGGTATCACTTGAGGTCCCCCATAGCCATGGCCGCCTCCCTCACTCTTCACTCTCATAGGCCGAGGCTATGGCGGACTACTCAGGCCTGGCCCTGATGTCCAAAGGACAATGCAAAGCAGCTATGGCTACTCTAGCTCAGGCCGACATGCCAAGCTCTGCCTCAAAGCTTCTTGGTGTAGCTCTACCCCCATCTGGGCCCTTCCTGCTGCAGCGCCCACCAAGGTGATGGAGATGGCTGCCACCATAGCCAGGGAAGTACCTCTGGCGCTCCTCCCTAGCCCTGGCTGTCTTCCTCCTTCGTGTCCTTGCTCCTTCCCCAGCAGCACTCCAACCAGTGTGTCGCCAAACTTGCACACCAACAATGAGGCTGGGCTCTTCACCCGCCCTGGAGATATAGCGGCCTGCTTGCCTCTTGAGCGGTGTCGGTGCGAATACCCTTACAACGTTATCCGCCCTGGTTTTTGCAAATGTCAGAAAATAAGCTTGGATTAAAATAGACCACGCGAGGTTGACTAAGTGGAAAGTGGGCGTGCAGTCTTTAGGCGCGCATGTGATTTCTCAATTTGTGTTTGATTATGAAGCACGTATAGTCAACCGACCTAATGTCTATTACCATCTAGATTAAGGAAAAGGTTGACCTTCGGTCGCCTCGTTTGACCGGCGGCAGGTCTGGTATGTAGGGTGGTGCGTGGGACGGCCGCGGCACAGTTTGGGGCGGCCCGCGTGGATGTGTGGCGGCCTCATGTCTGGTAGTGGGTGGAGGTGAGGCCCAAGGCATTTTTCACAGTTCTAAGCACTAGGCCGCACCGCTTTATATAAAGGTTCCGCGCCTCCTGGTCTCAGGCTTGGCCTCAGCCCTATAGGTTACGACACTGGGCTGTTGCTGCGGAGGTATGGGGTTTGAGGCTAGCAGGCGGCGGCATGGGAGCATGGGAGCGTTGAAGGAGCTGAGGGGTTGAGGGTCCCGCGGGACTACCCCCCTTAGTTTTGTTGGGGGAATCCGAACGCGGGCCCGTTTGTTTCAAGCTTTTTATTGATTTTACTTTTATTTTATATTTTTATTTATTTTTGCCGGTAACAGTTCCAAGCTCGGGTCGAGGGTCCATGAGCGTGACACGGTGGGTACACCTGTGGGCAGTTGGGACACAGGCCGCGGGTTGTCACCAAATAGGTCGGCATGGGAGCCACTTGGGCTTGGTGGTACCGCGGGGCATTACCCTGGTCTGATTCCTTCGGGACATCTGTAAAGATTGGGACGATACAAAGAAGATTAGCATGACCCCGACACAAGGCTGACGCGTATAAAGTCAAGTGCAGCCTGTCTCATTTTTTCGTTTACTCACCGCGATTCTTTCAAACTGGTTGTTGCACTCGTAGAGGGCTGATTCTGGTTGGCGACAGGACGAAGAAGGGCGGAGCACTGGGGGAGGCTGCTCTGCTGAGGAACAACGGACGTCGTGCTGGTACCATACTAACAGCGGGGCAGAGGGAAGAAGAAAAACGAATTTGGACGGAGAAAGGTGCCGGGTGCATATGGAGAGGGAAACGGGCTATGTCGGAAGTGAGCACAGGCAGGAGAGAGTAGGAAACGGAGGACCCGCTCGATCCTTGATGAAAACGGGCGGGGAATGAAGCTAAATTGAGGTTTCGGTATCGGGCGAACCCGATTTGGAGGTTAGTTTTAGCAGAAAGTTAGTGACGTAGGAGGTTAGCGGAAAAGGGTTGTGCGGAGACATGGCGGGAATTGGCTATGGCAGAAATGAAGGTATGAAATCTCGGTCGCTACCCAATAGAAACGGGCGGGAGAAGGTTCTAATTTGGGGTTACTAGCCATGGCGCGTTCAGAGATGGTATCAGATTGAGGAGTAAGTTAGTGAATTAGCGGTTAGTAGAGAACGGGGTGCGCCGAGATATCAAACAGTCAGGATATGGCCGCGCGAGATGATGGAAATCTTGGTTGTCCATCATTGAGGTCGGGCTGGGGAGGAGACTGACAGGAGGCTTTGGGTCATTACGAGTCCGATGGTGGTGCTGGATTTCGCGATAGAGTAGCCGGTTTCGAAGTGTGGGATGGAGGGACTGCGCGCGGGAGGAGAGAGCGATTTTGCAAGAGATAACTGAATAAGGCCGCGTTCCAGGAGAAGATTCATTCCAATTTCTATGGGGCTAATAGCGGGGTTGGAGATCGACTTGTAGCCCGGTGTGATGCTCGCGTCGCCTGTGGAAGTAGCCTCTCTGACTCTCTACGTGCATGGCAAGTAGCAGAGTGTATCTTTCCATCGTCCAACTGAAGATTCATTCTCATTTTGCACAGTTGGTGAGTTGCAGGGCTCAGCTACATCCGTACGCTTTACCTGCAGAGGCGCATGACCACTAGGCTCGTTTTTCATGTGATCGTCATGATCCTTCTCTCCATTTGAGCTAGCGGTAGGTGTCTGTGGCTCGTGTGGTCATGCTCGTTTTGATCGGGCCCAATTTTGAAGATCTCCATGCTCATATCATTGTTGGTGTGATACTAAGTAGAATGATCGTTGTTATGGTTGTTTCCTCGGCTCCTGGCAGTCGCACTCTGCTTATCGCTAGTTAGTAGCACACGGTGCCCACAAGTTTCTCGCCCGCGACATAGTCCCATTAGTTGGACGAATCTGGCCATGAGAGCGGTCGGGTGCATCATACAGTAAGGATCGCGGCAGGAATTGCAGGCGCAGAGGAAAAGGTGAGAGGAGAGGATGATAGAGGTAAAGACAGTAAGGGGAATGACACGTGGTACTTACCTGACGTAAGGTGAATTCTGGATGCGCTACAGTGGTGCATTTGGGCGAGCTTCGGTAATAGACTTACTCGACCCTACTCACGTTGACAACAAAGTAGATAGAAGCTAACTGTGTGGTGGAAGCTCACCCGAAGATGGGTATGCGACTCGTTGTATCGCATGAGCTCATCTATTTTGTGTTCGGCTGACAAGCAGTGTGTCGGGCCATGATTCGACAGTGCGTTCACCACAAGCTTTGCATATTGGTAGGGGCAGTGTGAGGACAGTGACAAAACCAGAAGACTTGCCTGCTAACCTGGTGTTGCGGCTGCAGAGATTACTGGAACAACGGTCCGACATCATTGTGATCAGAGCCTGGCCACAAACCGCTGGTACTTGGAGTTGAGGCGCTGCTGCTGTCTGCTGAGAAACCACCACCCATGTTTACTGCTTGCGGTACCACCAGGCCAGCATTGATCCAAGCACCCGGTGTGTTCACTAAGCTTGTGCTACTGTTGCTGTTACAAGACTGACTGTCGGAAGTGGGGGCGGCAGCCGTTGCTTGACGAGCCGCTGTTTGCTAAGCTCCGGTCCATTAAGGCGACTGCTGGCTAAGGCTGTTGAAGACTGTCTTGGGCTTACTGTTACGACCGGCATCCGATGTGTTGAGTGTTAACGAATCGCTAAACAGTGCTGCAGCATGGTGAGGCCTGCATCATAGGCTGCTACAGCGCCCGATGGTTGCGTGTGAGGTGTTGTGCATGAGGAGATTTGCTGAGACTCCGTGGAATTATCAGATTGTTGTGCAAGTAGCATGCAGCCTAAGAAGAAGCACCACGACTGTTTGGAACGGTAGGAATACAATTTTATGCTAGGCAGCCAAGGATAGTATGAGAGATGATTGGGCCGTGAAGAAGGGCTATGGATTGTGGTTTGGAGAAGTAGCGGTAAGGGGAGGGGGACTATTGCTGTGGGTTGAGGGTTCGTCTGGAGGTTTGAGGTCAACAGTTTGACTCCGGGTTGACCAAGCTGTTACGTTGGCTGCCATTGCGGGGCCCTCAGGCGCATCAAGGTATCAGGGCCCTCTCCTGAGAGTTGAGTTGTCCCCCTCTTGTATCTCGAGAGTCTCAGATCCCTTATCTTCTGCCCTTCTTACTCTAAGTCTAGTCCTGATCTGAGGGGAAGGCGGCAGGCGGGATTGCAACCCGTAGGACCGCAGCAAGGCCTACGTGGGAGGTTACCCCACCGATTGTGGGAGCTCTGTCGGAACTCAAGAGGAGTTCTATAAACCCAGATTATAGCGCCTATCTGTACTACCTGTTGCTTCTGACTGAGTATATTGCATGCATCCCTACTTTGACTTTTCAGTTTGACTGTCAGGATAAAACCAGATTAAATAAAAGAATGCTTGTGCAATCTCAACTTCACCTTTTATTGATTGTGTGAAAGCAGATTGTAAGAAGTGAATGCATCTGGGGGAAGGTTGGGAGGAAAACAGTATTGTATTAAAGTTTGACTAGGTCATTAAGGCTGGGAAGTCCCCATAAGTTTGGGGAGACCCAGTGCTATGTTTATTTTCGATTGTGTGGAGCATCAAACCATTCTATAAGTTTAGGTGGTCTGATTGCTCTGGAGGCTGGGAAGTCCCCATAAGTTTGGGAGACCTAGTGTTGTGGGACTGCTTTGAGGATCAGGCCATTCTATAAGTTTAGGTGGTCTGGTTGCTCTGACTTGCGAGGGCTAAT